GCTTGAGGCTCATTCAGTTGTGAAATTGGTTAAAGGGGAGAAAACAAACACCACCCTTCATCCCATATACACAGACACACTCAACGCCAGTCATCTTAGTGGGGAAAAGCGATGCTCCTGATATTGAAATGAACTGTTTCGTTACTGCGGTCGGCTTTGCCCTATGTTTGAGGTATGCTTAAATAACTTTTGGGAAGATCAAGATATTTCTAAAAACAAATACTTAATGGAAAGCCAAAGTACATAGAGAAGAATTAAAATTTATAATTAAGAATCTAATGTCTGCAGTTTAGTGAATAGTAATGCACCCATGTTCATTTCATAGTATTGACAAATGTATGCAATTTATGTAAAACATCAAAATAAAAAAGAACTAAGGTCATTTGGAGAGTACTTTTAAGCATCCTTTTTTGTTGTTTTTTAAGGTTTTTTCCCCTAGGGCATGTGTGCTCACCAGGGAGAGACAGTGAGAGGGAAAGTGAGAAATCGCCCCATAGGGAGGATGGCCACACCACAGACCCTTCTCTTCCGTTCTCTTCCTGGGATTTGGGGCACATATACACACATAGCTGGTGTGATTTCTTTCAAGCTGCCGGGCCTGGAACTGGAACTGTGGCCAGGCATGTGGGAGTCCAGCACCTTAACCACCATGCCACCTGCTGGGCCTAAATATACCTTTCTTGAGGTATCCCATTATTGATTTCAGAATCCTGAAAGTCATGTTCGCAAAAGTGCTCTTTACACCTAAAGGGCTAAGGCCAGGCTAGAATGTGTGCACTGTTTATCCAGGAAGTCTGCAAATTTCAGCTGACTTCCTAACAGACTCTTATGCAAAAGGTAACTGTTAATGCCAGCTGAGTGTGACTCACCTGCATCCACTGCTACCTGAGTCTACATGGGCCTTTAGTATTGTACTAGTGACCTTGAGTCTTAAGGGTAAAATTATATACTAGGGGATTTCAAAAAGTTGGCAGGAAAAAAAATGGAATTAAAGTACAACTTAATTTTGGCACAAAAACATTTTTGAAATATATCCACACACACACACACACACACACACACACACACACACATATACACTCTCCATTTAAAATATCCTCAAGCTCCCTTGAATGAGATCTCTATTCACAGCTTTACTCATTTCCTGCAGTTAGTCTGCATATTACTTTCTAGAAAATTGACTTTTTTCTCTGTTACAGGCAGAGTTATTATTTCTAGCCTGGCACTATCCGTTTAAGAGAGGACCTAGTTAAAGAGTTTCTGAACGAAAATAAGGATAGTAATGAGGATGAAGTAAGTCTGTGCTGAATAAGGCTTTAAAAACATATCTAAATATCTTCGTTTCCTTAAAGAATGGGTGTTAGAAAGAGGACCATATATATCGGTATGCCTGGATCATCCCAGAATTATTCCTGCTATCCCAGCACCCCCTTTTATCCTCGTAAGCATCCCACTTAAGATAATTTACTGTATTGTCCCCTAATTACAGACTAATAGTACTTCTTCATTTTACACAAAGGAAAAAGTGATCTAGGAGAACTAAAAGATTTATATGAAGCCATCAGATAGCTTGATACTCAAATTAGTTTCTAGAATCATCTTTGTAGTAGGTTGGGGGGGGTCCCCTGAATAGTGAATGAAGACGATGAGAGACATCAGCTTTTGGTGGACACTATGAAAACAAAAACATGAGTTGTTCACCTTGACTTGAAGATTACTCAGCCAAGAAACCCAGAGGGCTCCTGGATCAAGCCTAGGGGTGCTCTGATAGCATTAGCATGATCATAGAAACATCTGTATTGGAAGCGCTTGCCAAGTGCTGACTTATACATGACGCTTAGAAAGAATGTTAATAATATCAATTATGTTAAACCTACAAGGGACCTTAGCACATGGGAGAGGGGGAACCAGCTATTCATAATAGTTTATTAATTGGGAATTGCTTCCTCAAAAGCAGCTGTGTTTGCAGCCACGGGACCCCTCCTCCCCTCTGTTGTTCTCCTGGGCTGTGAGTGATGCGAGTTGGAGAACATAATGTGCTGTAAGTGTTCACAGACACAAAGCAATCTAGTCCTTGGGCTGGATGGGATCCTGTGTTTATGAACTATCCACAGCAAAGCTGCAGTATTAAATATGACAAAGCTCCTCCATACACAGAAGCCGTGATCTCAGAGGGCCCTTCGCGGCTGACCTTTAGATGAACTTAATTACAATCAGCAAGAGAAAAATGCTAGGCCTTTCATACAACATAATGGAGTTTCTCTAATTTGTTTACCAGCAGTGCCCAGCAAGGACCTTCTCCCCACAGAAGGCTTTGGTGTGCAGAAATGAATCCAGGCAACCACATATAGGATGCGAGATGTGTGTATAACAAAAGGAGCAAGAGTCCAGGAAGACAAATCCCTCTCGCCCTCTGCTGACACTTTGGGAGTTATTGTCTAACTGGATGTTTTTCATTCTGCACTATTTATTAAATCACTTAAATTATTGATGGCAATAGGCAACAAAAGTTTATGACTGTTGGGGTCTTGAGGGATTTTGAGTGACGGATATGTCATTGTTGACTCATGGAATCAATGTTTCTTCCAAGTTATAAGTTTTTTTTGTTTTGTTTTGTTTTTCCTAAACTTCAGGGAA